GCGCATGCCTTTAATCCCAGCACTCGGGAGGCAGAGGCAGGCAGATCTCTGTGAGTTCGAGGCCAGCCTGGTCTACAGAGCAAGATCCAGGAAAGGCGCAAAGCTACACAGAGAAACCCTGTCTCGAAAAAAAACCAAAAACAACAACAACAACAAAAAAGACATGAAGGTTTCTTGTACTCAAAGAGATCCTCACCCTCTTCCAGGAAAGGAGGGAAGGGCTATGAACAGGGCTTCCAGGCCTCAGAATCTACCAGGGAGTCAGGGAGACGGCTCAGCAGATAAAGACACCTGTTGCCAAGCCTGATGACCTGAGTTTGATCCCTGGATTCCACATGATAGAAAAAGAGAACTGACTCCTGCAACTTGTCCTCTGACCTCCCTCCACATGTGTTGGGATATACGCCCCCCAAATGAAATAAAAACACAATGTATTAAGCCAGGCATGGTGGCGCACGCCTTTAATCCCAGCACTTAGGAGGCAGCAGTAGGTGGATCTCTGTGAGTTTGAGGCCAGCCTGGTCTACATAGTGAGTTCCAGGGTAGCCAGAGTTACATAGTGAGACCCTGTCTCAAAACACACACACACACACACACAGAGACAGAGACAGAGACAGAGACAGATGTTTTCCAGCTGCTATGCCACGTTTAAATATGTTTTCAATTATATGCCTTTAAAAGTAGCAGTTCTAGAGTGAGCTAGACAGAATTCTAAGGACACCAATTCAAATCTTTCTTAGACTACAAGAATGAATGGGAAACAGCTGCTAACCAAGCAAATCTGATTGGTTACCACAAGGTTAAAAACATTGTTTTTCTTGCCTCCATTCTTTCACAAGGGAATAAGCAAAACAACCAGAGGGAGTGTCCCGCTGGTGCGCTGCAACACTCAGAAGGTAACTCTGGCGTATTATGGCGAGCAACTGGAGGCACCTCCCAAAGGCCTTGAAAAAAAAAGCCCTACAGACAGCACAAGAGCACCTGAAGCCAAGATACAATGAATCTTCAACCGGAACTCCAGTGAGAAAGCCTGAGGGAGTGGCAGGGTGAGCAGCTGTAATCCCAGCCCTTGGAGGATCCCAAGTGTGAGGACAGCCTAAGCTACATAGTGTCCCCGTCTGGAATAAAAGTTCAGGTGGGAGGAGAGGGGGGCTGCATAGGATCAGGGCATATATTATGAAATTGTTAAAAAATAAGTTAAAAAATGGAAGAAATACTAGTTATGGTTGCTATTATTATTTCTTTTTTTTTTTTTAAAAGATTTTATTTATTTATTTATTATGTATACAGCATGTATGCCTGCAGGCCAGAAGGGGGCACCAGATCTCATTACAGATGGCTGTGAGCTACCAGGTGGTTGCTGGGAATTGAACTCAGGACCTCTGGAAGAACAGTCAGTGCTCTTAACCGCTGAGCCATCTCTCCAGCCCCTATTATTTCTTCAATTATGGGACACATGCACATAAAAAGGGCTTATTAACTAGAAAAAACATACAAGAGACTGTTTTCTTTTAGCACCTCTGTTCTGCTTCGTTATGTGGGAAGGGGTTTTTCTTTAAAGTTATATTCCAGCTAACACACTTAAATAATCAAAACATTTATTACCATAGGCTATAAAGAAATAACAAGGGAGGCTGGGCGGTGGATCTCTGTGAGTTCGAGCCCAGCCTGGTCTACAAAGAGAGTTCCAGGACAGCCAAAAAACCCTGTCTTGAGTGAAAAAAAAAAAAAAAGCCAGGCGGTGGTGGCGCACGCCTTTAATCCCAGCACTCGAGAGGCAGAGGCAGGCAGATCTCTGTGAGTTTGAGGCCAGCCCGGGCTACCAAGTGAGTTCCAGGAAAGGCGCAAAGCTACACAGAGAAACCCTGTCTTGAAAAACCAAAAAAAAGAAAAAAAAGTAACAAGGGGCTGAATTCTAAGCGCATTAAAAAAAAAAATAAACAAAACAAAACAAAACAAAACAAAAACAGAGAGCCCAAGGAGATGGTTCCATGGATAAATTTCTCGCCAGGCCTAAGTTTAGAGTCCCAGTACCCACATAAAAAGCTGGTTGTAGCAGCCAACACTGGTAACCCCTGTGCTGGACAGGTGGAGGAGCCCTGCAGCTTGCTGGCCTAGATAGACAGCTGGTGAGTTCTAAGGTAAAGGGAGAGGCCATGTCTCAAAAAACAAGATGGGAAGCAACTGAGGAAGACACTCCACAGTGACCTCTGGCCTCCACATGCACGTAGGAGCATGTATGTGCACACACAGGGGGGGAAAAGTCTGAGGAAGGTCCAGATGTTCCCCAAATAAACCCAGGAACTAGGAGTGTAGCTCAGCAGTAGAACACCTGCCTAGCATGTGCAAAGTTTATTATGTATAGTGTTCTGCCTGCATGTATGCCTGCAGGCCAGAAGAGGGCGCCAGATCTCATTACAGATGGCTATGAGCCACCATGTGATTGCTGGGAATTGAACTCAGGACCTCTGGAAAAGCAGCCAGTGCTCCTAACCACTGAACCATCTCTTTATCCCCTGACTACATACAAATCTTAGACTTTGGAGACACTGAGTTTAGAGTACTTATTTTGGAGCTATTATTTCTTCTTTCAAAACTGAAGTCAGGTCATTTACTTTTTAAGCTCTAGTTGTTAGCACGTTAAATTTAATAAAATATATTTTATGCTTGATTTGAACACAGTATATGGCTCTATTTGCTTATTTGATAAAGGGGTGTGTGTGTGTGTGTGTGTGTGTGTGTGTGTGTGTGTGTGTGTGTAACTGGGACAATGCTCTTCTACCGGCAGGGCACGGTGACCTGAATCCAGACTCCCAGTCTTGTATCGACCTGACCCTCCTTACCTTCCTGCCCCCTCCAGGGCTGTGCGGGTCCTGGCGGTAGAAGAATGCAGGGTGGTGGGCAATGTGTTGGGTGGCACTGGGCTCCTTTCACTCATGCTGGTAGCTCTGGGAGCGGGAGGCGCTAGGCCAGGTACTGGAGAGAAAAGAAGATTGGAATGGGCAGCTAGAAACCAAAAATGGTTCAAGAGTAGCTGCCAGACGCCTTGACAGAATCTTTCAGATTCCCTGACGTTAGGCACTCTCATTTATTGCTATAAATTAAAAAAAAAAAAAAAAAAAAGACTTGGATTTAGCATTAGTGATTCTAAAAAAAATCACTGGCTCACAAAGATTAGGAGTAGAGATGATCTGATGATCTCTAACAAGACATCAGGAGTCCAGAGTTCTGTTCTAAAAAGTGCCAGAGGCCAGACAAAGCCAGGCCTGAGCATTACAAAGCCCAAGTACCCAGCTCATTTACATTATACCACTACGATGCTACCTAAAAGGACAGAGTCGAGGCTGCCATCCCCCTCCCTTTCCAAGGGCCCTGCTGTTCCAAGAAGCTACTCCAGGGACTCACCAAGGGAGCAGGGATGACTGTCGGGCTCATCAGGACAGGCACACACAAAGTCGGAGGCTCTGGCAAAGCAGAGGTGGGTACAGCCACCATTGTTCACACCACAGGCATTGGTCCCTGGAGGCAAAACATATGTGTCTGGTCTGAGACAGAATAGGGTCTCCCAGTCTCACACTTCTCAAAAGGGAGGAGATCCAGGGCTCTCCCACTCCCAGGACAATAGAGCAGGAAGGGGATAATCACAAGGTTTTCTTGTGGCTCTAATTATGTTGGCCACTAACAGTCCTTGGGATGACCAGAGCCAGTCCCCGCTGAGGGAAGGGGCTCAGTTCCCAGGGGCCCACCTGTCTGCCGCTGAGGGGACACCACGATGATGTCCATGAGTCCCTCCACATTGGCCAGCACTGTCTCCTTGTTGCGGCCCGAGTACTTGTCGACACGCTGGATGGACTTGGTCTGCCAGTCTGTCCAGTAGATCCACCTCTCCTGCTACTCAATAAAGAACCCAAAAGAAGAAGTAGTCAGGAATCAGACCCCAGCGCCACTTCTGTGTGTCAATGTGTGCTCTCCCTCCGCTGAAATAAATGCCTTCTGCCTCTGACCCCAGATCGGTTCTGTGGACTCCCAGACATTCAGGAAGTCTCTCCAAATTCATGAGTACATTCTCCCCTCTGCTCTGCACCATGCAGCTACTTCCACATGGAGTTTGGACACTAAGCAGTAAATTGTTTGTGTTTCTGCTGCTCCACACTACTCAGTTTGTTTGTTTGATTGATTGTTTATTGGCTTTGTTTTGGTTTATTGAGGCAGGGGCTCATGTAGCCCACATTGGTCTCAAACTTGATATCTAGCTGAGAATGGCTTTGAACTCCTAATCCCCCTGCCCTCCACCTCCCCAGTGCTGGAATGATAGGCACACCCCACCATGCCTAGCTATCTTTTGTTTTTTTGAGACTGAGCCCAGGTTAGCCTGAAACTCATTTTGCGGCTCAGGCAGGCCTCACACTGCAGAACCTCTTGCTGCCAGGTGGTGGCAGCAGCGCACGCCTTTAATCCCAGCACTCGGGAAGCAGAGCCAGGCGGATCTCTGTGAGTTTGAGGCCAGCCTGGTCTACAGAGTGAGTTCCAGGACAGCCAGAACTACACAGAGAAACCCTGTATCGAAAAACAAGCAAGCAAACAAATGAACAAACAAACTAAGAACCTCTTGCCTCTTCCTCCCAAGTGCTAGAGTTAGAGCCGTATACCTCAGGCCCAGTCCAATTCATTTCTTCAAGGACAAGAATGTGCTTGGGTCATCTGAGTCTGTAGCACCTATGCTCAGTCCTCAGTCAAATGAATGAAGAGCTCACTACCCAGCAAACAGGAACCCAGGTTCTTTTCAGCCTCAGCTGTTTTGGTCTTTTTGTTCAGAGCCCTGACTCCAATCTGCTTATTTCTGTGGACAGTTTCCTGACCATGCATTGGTGCTAAGCTTCTCAGCCAAGGGTGAAAGGAGAAATGAAAGTATTATTCTCTTTCTCCTTGGTGGTAGAATGGTAGAGATTCTGGAGGACACTTGTAGACTGAGAAAATATATTCAGTATTAGCCTATCTTCAGGTAAACCTGATGAGACACACAATCCAGGGCTAGGAATGTAGCTCTGTGGCAGAGTGTTACAGGTTCAGTCCCTGGCATCAAAAAGAAACAATGCCAATGTGGGGCTGGAGAGATGGCTCAGAGGTTAAGAGCACAGGCTGCTCTTTCAGAGGTCCTGAGTTCAATTCCCAGCAACCACATGCTGGCTCATGGTGGATCTGGTGCCCTCTTCTGGCCTTCAAGGACACATGCAGGAAGAACACTGCACACATAAACAAAGAAATCTTTAAAAAAGGAAAGAAAGAAGGGAAGGAAGGAAGGAAGGAAAGAAGGAAGGAAGGAGTGAATGATGTTTGTCAAGTAGATAGAATGTAAGTGTCTAGGAATCTGTTCAGACTCAGTCTTCCTTATCCTATTCCAAATTATCTTTTTCCCTTTTTTTTGAGACAGAGTCTCATATAGCCCAGACTAGCCTCGAACTAGCTATGTAGCTGAGGATGACCTTGAACTCCTAACCCCCCTGCCTCCACCTCCTAATAGCCGGGGAATTACAACCATATGCTACCACATAGTTCCCTCAGGTTAACCTACTGTGTTGAACTTCCCCAAAATGACGACTAAGAATAATTGAAATGGATAAATGCAATGGTTAATCTCTTTTTTTTTGAGACGGGGTCTTATGTATCCCTTTCTAGCATGGCCTTGAACTCACAGAGATCCGTCTGCCCCTGTAAGCCACCTCACCTGACTTGATGGTTAATTTTTGATTGTCAAGTTGAGGGGATTTAGAATCACCGTGGAAACAAACTTCAGGGCCTGTCCCTGAGGTTTCTGGGTAAGTTAATTAAGGTGGGAAGACTCAGTCTACACGTGAGTGGGCTGAAGTCTTAGCCCGAATAAAAAGGAGACGGGCAGCTGGGCGCAGCATCCGTCAGCGTCCATCTCCTGACTGCAGACACGGTGACCAGCTAGCTGCCTCCCGCTCCGGCCACCAGGGCTGCTCTGATTGGATGACCCCGTGGACTGTGAGCTGAAATGAACCTTTCCTTCCTTCCCTAGCCAGGTGACTTGTCACAGCGATCACAGAGTGACTAATAGAAGGCATTTAGTGCTCACTGTGCTCCGGGTCCTGTGCACACCTGCCGCACACTTTCGGAGAGCGTTCTGATTAAACTGCTTTGTTTTGTAGGCGACTGCAGCCTGCAGAGGTTCTGTGTCTTGTTCAAAGTTATCCAGTTATTTACTCAGGTAGGCATCAGGGTCAATGTGAAGGTACTCAAACATTTACCAAATAAATGTCTAAAATCACCTCTGGCCTTTAGCCATTCTAACCATCTTTAACTAAGTGAGCTAAGAGCACAGCAGTAGGATCAAGAGGGGAATGCATCAAACTGACACATTCCCGGGCCCAGCCATCACAAAGCGATTTCTCTAGAGCCAGAGCCCTGGAACTGGCATTTAACAGCTCCACCGCTGATTCTGTGCACCTCTGAGAGCCACATGTTCAAATGATGGAACTTGGAAGTGCTGGGCCAGGATAGCAGAGTACCCCAGGAAACAACTCGGTCAGGGAGGCTTAGTTACCTCTCTCCTGAGCCAGTACCTGTGTGAGGGCAAAGGGGTGGGACACGTGGCTGACCAAGACCTGCCGCAGCTTCCCGCTCAGGTCAGCGCTCTCGATCCGATCCAGATGGGCATCGACCCAGTAGATCCTGCAGAGAAAAAGAGAAGGGTAGCACATGCATGCATGGGTCATCAGGGGCTCTCTGGTCCTTCCTGAGCTGGACTGACAGGTGTTACGCAGAGTCAGGAAACATCCCTTTCCCGTGAGTCCCAGCTGAAGGAGATGCAGCTCATACGCGGGGAGGCCGGAACTGCTCGGCAGAGACCTGGAGACTCCAGGCATCTTAGAGGAACCACCCTCAGCCTTTCCTCTGGCAATCTGATCACCCTTCGGATCCTATCCAGACATCTAAGCCCAAATTTTTACAAATGGTCTTCAAAAAGAGAGCTCCGGCCATGTGCTCCTAAGCAAGGTTAAAAGAAGAGGGTGCCCTACCAACTCCCCAGGTGACCTTAGTTCTTTTCCCCTGCGGGCAGGAAGGAGAAGACACCCCCCTCTGCCCTTCACATTTTCACATTTGTTTTTGTTGTTGTTGTTGTTGTTGTTTTTAATCTAGAGTAGGAGGTGCCAGTTCCAGAGCCTGTTGCTTCCTCGGGTAAGCAACAAATCTAAGAAGCAGCCCCTAAGTGGATGTGGAGAATAGGACACACTCTGTCTACTAACATTTATAAATCAGGGTCCTCAAACACTTGTAAATCGAGGAGACCAAACCCCGCAGAGGGCCCAGGGCTGGATTCGACAACTCCTGAGCTAAGACTGTGTTGTCTCATCCTCCTCATAGTTTCCTCTTCCCCGTCTACCAAGGAGCTTTCCATCTTTTCTTTTCCCCATGTCAATCTCTGTCCTCTCCTTGACCCACGACATTTCCAGGTGGCTGTTTGGGCCAGGGTTCTCACCTGCGGGTATCATAGTCCAAGGTAAGGCCGTTGGGCCAGCCTAGGTCTGTGTTGATGAGGACCTTCCGCTCAGAACCATCCAGGTTGGCCCGTTCGATCTTGGCAATGTGGCCCCAGTCTGTCCAGAAGAGGTACCTAAGACACAATAGTGCCATTGTCACAGAGCATGGGGAGACGGTGCCAAGAGGTTGACAGAACAGAGTGGACACACCAATCCATTAATTGGTAAGGACCATCTAGGAGCTTATCTTCTACCAGGCCCTTCCAGCCTGGATCTCTTTCCTGCTGGGCATGAACTTACCCCTTTCTGGGGAAAACAGCAATGGCCCGGGGCTCGTCTAGACTGTTGTTGATCAGCACTTTGCGACAGGAACCGTCTAGACGAGACGCTTCGATGGTATTTCGGCCTGTATCTGTCCAATACAGGTTTCTGGCAACCCAGTCCACGGCCAGGCCATCAGTGGTCTTCAGCCCGTGTCCGATAACAGTCTCCATGTTGCTGCCATTCAGGTCCGCTCGCCTTGGGGACAATACAGGATTGTGTGAGTAACCAGACTGACCAGAAATAATACCCTGGAACTCCTTGTAAGTGCCATAGACAGGGATAAACTAATGTTTCTCGGCACCCAGCATGGAAAATGAATGAGAGAGTGAATTCTTCGAGTGTTTCCTTCAAACTGGAAGTAGTAAAGGCTTTGAACGCATGTTTTACCGTAAGACAAATAAATAATATATTCACGTGTGAATGTATCTTTGTGAGGACACAAGGATTGCTACCTGGGGGTGATTATGAGACAGGTAGATTGAGGCTGGGAGTGTAGTTCAGTGGCAGAGCACTGGTCTTGGGTTCAGTCTTTAGCACAAAGCAGAGTAAAGATAGAAAGGAGCCGAGCAGTGGTGGCACACGCCTTTAATCCCAGCACTGGGGAGGCAGAGCCAGGTGGATCTCTGTGAGTTCGAGGCCAGCCTGATCTACAGAGTTCCAGGACAGGCACCAAAACTACACAGAGAACCCTTGTCTGAAAAAAAAAAAAAAAAAAAAAAAAGCTAGAAAGGAAAGGTTTACCAAAGCCAAGATGTGCTTTTACACAGAGACCCATGCACCGTGGGTAAGGATCATGTCCCAGTCACCTGGGGGATTTCTCTCAACTCTACACACCACATGAGATCCTAATACACCCTCAGGAGAACAAAGACCAAGATCTCTACATCCGGTCTAAGAATTTCTGCCATGGTAAATCACTTGTATTGGTATGACATCATATTCTTGAGTTGTGTTGAAATAAGAAAAGTAAAAAATAATAGCAAAAAAAAAAATCACTCAAAACAACTGTGTAAAGTAACAGAAAACTTATCATTGGGCTAAGGTTCCTATACTATACTGCAATATAGATTCCAACTTTACATCTGCCTTGGGGGATTCTTAGAGTTTCCCCACGGCCTGGCACTAAGTGTGGATGTTCCATGTTCCCAACTTGGCATTACGATTATTTATTTAATATACAAGGTTTCCATTACATATATACATACATACAAACATACATACACACATACATACATACACACACACACATATATACATGTATATAATGAGGGGGCTCATGTAGCCCAGGCCTCAAACTAGCTCATTATATGGCCAAAGATGGCCTTGGATGTCTGCTCCTTCTGCCTCTACCTCTCTGGTGCCTACTTTAGGCAATGCTGAGAACCAAACCCAGAGCTTTGTGCATGCTAGACAAGCACTCTATAAACTGAGCTACATCCTGTTTATTGTGTTTTTGAGACAGGAGATTGCCATATTGTCCTGGCTGATCTTAAACTCACTGTCCTCCTGCCTCAGCCTCCAGAGGGCTGAGATTAGAGGTGGAGAACCACCATAATCAGCTCTGTTTTTATTTTTGGAGACTGGACCTTGCCCATGTTGGCCTCAAACTAGTGATCTTCCAATTTCAGCCTCCTGAGTAGCTTTACAATTGTTAGACCAGCAAACAAGCAATAGAAGTGTGGCATAAGCTGAGTGGTGGTGCACGCCTTTAATCCCAGCACTCGGGAGGCAGAGGGAGGCGGATCGCTGTGAGTTCAAGGCCAGTCTGGGCTACAAAAGCTACAGAGAAACCCTATCTTGAAAAACCAAAAAAAAAAAAAAAAAAGAAAAAAGAAAAGAAAAAGAAAGAAAGAAAGAAAAAGAAAAAAGAAAAAAGAAGTGTGGCGTGCTGTGAAGTGATCAAGACTATAACTCTGTGTCTAAACTGCCAAGGCATCCAGTCTAGTTAGCTGTCAACAGAGAACATAACCTCACACCTGACTATGCAGAAGCAGGTTTGTGTCCCCTGCTGGCTTCAGTGACGCTCATACCTGATAACATCCAGGAACACATCTGTGTAGTAGACCTTTCCATCCACACTGTCATAGTCTAGGGAGATGACGTTGTTGAGCCCAGGAACAGGGACATGCACATCTGTGTGGTCCTCGGTGTCCAGGGAGATGCGCCGAATGGAGCCTCGGCTAGAGAAGAGCAGGTAGGTCTCTGGGGAGGGATCACAGGTCTTCCCGTCCCCCTTCAGCTGGATGCCAGTGGGGCAGGCGCAGGAGAAACCAGAAGGCCGAGGTAAACAGAGGTGGGAACAGCCACCGTTTCTTGAGCCGCACTTATTAAAACCTGGTGAGAGAGGAGCATCGTGCTTTCATGCCCAGCCTGGGAGGTGGGCAGACTCGATCATAAAGGACCTAGTTTCTTATGACTGACTCTTTGCCACTTTTAGTGACAAGATTCAGGGTTAGACAGAAGTGCGAGGTAGATAGAGCAAGTGTCTCTGAGAATTCTGAAGGTAGCAGCATCATAGACCTGTGGTACCAGTCATACCCAGAGGGAAAAAAAGACTTATCCTGGAAGTGGGACTCAGGAAGTCCCTCTGACTGGAAGTAATTCTGTGCCCTGGCTATATCCTGCTTTGCCATGCCCCAGAAATCCAGAGGCTCTGACGCAGAGCCCTGGGGGTCTTCTCACCCAGCGGTTGTGCCCGGTCAATAGCTTGGATGTCCATGAGGCCTGGCAGGTTGGACCTCACCAAGATGACGTTGCTGCCTGTGTTCTTGTCGGCCCGGTGGATGCTGCGGGTCTGCCAGTCGGTCCAGTAGATATAGGAGTCAAGCAGAGTGAGGCCATATGGGTGCTGTACTGGTGACACCAACGTATGCCGATTGGCACCATTCAGGTCGGCCGCCTCAATTCTCTGTGGAGGAGATTGTGGAGAGGTGGCTCTTAGTCCACCGGGAGCCGTCGCTGAAGAGCCTGGACAGATCTCGTCCATCTTCCCAGGCTCCCGGGAAGCAGTGCAGGGCTCTCACCTCAGTGTGGGCATCAGCCCACAGCAGTTGGGAGCTGGCCTTGTCCACAGTCAGCCCATTGGGCCACCCTAGGTTGTTGTTGATGAGCACAGTGCGATCTGAACCATCCATTCCAGACCGCTCTAACTTGGCATTCTCTCCCCAGTCTGTCCAGTACATGAACCTGATTGAGGAAGTAAAGCAGCTGGTTATTCTAACAGCTCCTGCATGCTGTGAACACCTGCAGCACGTCAAACATATGGTGAGTTCCTGCAAAACGCCAGATACCTCCCATGCATTAGCTCACTTTGCAAGGGTGGGTGACAAGTTATGCATTTTTTAAAAATTTTTTTAAAATATTTTTAAGATTGATTTATTTATTATTATACAGAAGAGGGTGCCAGATCTCATTATAGATGGTTGTGAGCCACCATGTGGGTCCTGGGAATTGAACTCATGACCTCTGGAAGAGCAGTCGGTGTTCTTAACCTCTGAGCCATCTCTCCAGCCCCAAGTTATGCATTTTTATTGTCACCCTTGCTTGACAAGGGAGAAAGCTGATAAGGATCAGAAAGTTCAAACATTAGATCCCCAGTGAGGAAGCTAATACACATGAAAGAATCTAAATCTTGATCTTTGTACATGTGCACCTGTGTATGCCGGTGCATGCACATGTGTGTGCATGTGAGGCTTGAGGCCGGAGGTGGATGATCCGCAGTCAATTTCTACCTTTTTCTTTTCTTTTTTTGAGATAAGATCTTTAACTGAACCTGGAGCTCACCGGTTCAGCAAGACTGGCTGGCCAGCAAGCTCTAGGGGTCCTCCTGTCTGCCTCCCCAGTACTGGGATCATAGGCACATATCACTGTACCTGGCCTTTTATGTGGGTACTGGGATTCCACACTGAGGTCTTCACGCTCGCGTGGCGAGCACTTTCCTACCTGCCGCATCTCCCCAGCCCTTGACTCCTGTCTTCTGATGGCAAGGATCGTGCTTTAAAGCTGTACACTATGCTGACACAATAAAGAAGCTGCAAGGGAGCGGAACAATCCTGGGTCAGGGGTCGGCCTACAGTGACCTCCAGGGTTCACAGTGCTCCTGCAACGCGTCTTCCACTCTGCACCCTGACCTATCCATGGTCCCAGCTAAGCATGGTCCACTCAGCTCTCCAGGGTGATAAAGCCAGCTCTCACCCCATTTCGTGGTACAGTACAATGGCCCGGGGACTGTCAAGGTTCTGCCACACCAACACTTTCCGCATAGACCCATCCAGGTTGCCAACTTCTATCCGATTGGTCCCTGTGTCCGTCCAGTACACTTTCCGGCCGATGGCATCCACTGCAAGTCCATCTGTGGTCTGCAGACCTATAGGATGTCAGAAGAACACACTGACCCCTGCCTTAAGGCAGATGGGACAGTCCGCTGCTCGTTAGCCAGACAGGTGGCCCTTGGGCGGAGGGGAAAGCTCACCTGTGGTGATGATGTCCTCATGCTGTGAGCCATCCAGGCTGGCACGACTGATCCTGTGCAGCGTGCTGTCAGACCAGTACACTTTTCCTGAGAGGGAACGCTAGACTCAACCCAGGCCCTGCCTGCCCACAGTGGCACCCACACCTGACCCAGAGCCTGAGACGTGAGGACAGAGCAAAGACCCCTGTCGTCCCAAACGGGAGAAATGGATGGAAGGGGAGGAAGGTCACAGCGGGACAGCTCTTGGCAAAGACAGAAAGAGCAGATGCTAAAGGCGAGAGAAGGAAAGGACAATGACAGCTTTTGATCGGGCACAGAAATACAGGTGGGAAGAAGAGTCACACAGACCTTCCAGAGGGTCCACTCCGATGGCAATGGTGTTCTTCATGGTCATGTTGATTGGGACCACCACATCAGCAAAATAAGGGATATCCAAGGAGACCATGCGCACATCGATCCTCCTGGCGAAGATGAGGAAGCTGTTCATGCCTGCCCCGGGGGAGAGAGGAGGAGGGAGAACAGTCAGTCTAGGAGAGCCACTGAGAGGATCTGGAGGCAGGCAAACTGAAGCCCCAGAGTCTGACACTATTGGTCTGGTTGTGTGATCCTAGGCAAATTACTGAAATTACTTAAGACTCAGTTTTCTGTTCTATATAATAGGGATAATAACAGGATGACTATGAGAATTAAAAGAAATAATGTACATACACAAAGCACTGAGCACTAGGCTTCATTCGTATGCATAAATGGTACTTCCCTTTTGGGGGTAGGAGAGCTTGAAAAGGGGTGTCATATGGCCTAGGTTGGCCTTGGCCTCATTGTGTAAATGAGGAGCGTCTTCAACTCCTGATTCTCCCGGGATTACACCTCTTTGTTTATACTATGGAAGGAGGGCTGGCAAGATGAGTTAGTGGGTAAAAGTGCCTGCCACCAGGCCCGATGACCTGAGTTCAGTCCCTAGGACCCATATGGTGGAAGGAGAAAAGAGACTACCTCAAGATATCCTCTGGTTTACACACACACACACACACACACATGCATGCACGCGCAACATTAAGCGTGAGTGTAGCGGCAGCCCTCTTTGAAAGACCCTTTTATCACACGAAGCTTAAGAAAAGTAGAAAAGGGGCCCAGAAAGCTTCATTCACAAGCTAAGAGGCACTCAGATTCTTTAGGAGGTCAGGGTTCAAATGCAGTCTACCGTACAGATCTCCTAGGAGAAACCTTGACCCCTAACGTCTGAGTAGCCAGGCCTTACTCCTGGGACACTCCCATAAGAATGACACACAGGTCCTGTGCTCACAAAAGTGGCACATCATTTACCGAGTCTGTGCAGAAAGTGAAGAGTCTTCTTCTAAACGAATCATCATATTGTAATTTTGCAACAGCTCAAACTGTTGAGACAGGACAGTCTTTCTCACAATAGAACCTGGTCTCCATCCTTCTCTAAGCTCCCACTCTCTCTTCTAAGCTTCTGGGAGGAGCGGCACTCACAGATTCTCAGATCATGCTGGAGGACTCTCGCAGAGGACGGGACAGCCCTATCTCCACCCACACAGGCGATGCCTCCACTCACCTGGTGAACACGTCTTGCCATCAATCAGCAGGTTGATGCCCGTGGGGCAGGTACAGCTGAAGCCGCTTGGATTTGGGGACCGGAGACACAAATGGCTGCAGCCACCATTCTCCACAGCACATGGCGTTATCACTGTAGAGGGAGGGGAACTGTCAACGGGGCAGGCTAGGGCGTAAGAAGGCTGAGGGAGAGGCTAGCATCTGCTGGCGGCTGCTCACCTGGAGGCCTCTGGCGGTGGAAGACATGGATGTCCATGAGATTTTCTAGGTTCTCCTGTAGAGTCTCCCGATCTAACCCGGTCAGCCGGTCAGCGCTTTGTATACTTTTGGTCTGCCAGTCGGTCCAATAGATGCGCTGTCCATAGAGAGTCAGCCCAAAAGGGTGGGGGAGCTGACTTCCAATCAGCACCTGGCGGGCCCCAACAGTGGTATCACACAACAGTACCGGGAGCCAGCAAGAGCTCGGAAGATCTGGGAAGCTCTGCCACAGCAACTTCCTGTGTGACCTTGACCTAGAGCTTGTCTCTCTCCGCTCCTGTCTACCAGCGCGTGTGAGCGCCTACCTGAGCTCTGTGTGATTACTGTAATATCACATACATATTGCCAATGTGTCTGGGCTCAAATCACAAAAGGAAAATTAGCAACTTTACAATGGACCCCATCCTGACAGAGCAAGCACACATGCACGCACACGCACACAAACGCACGCACGCACGCACGCACATGCACACGCACACGCACACACACACTGAAGAAATGGTTTCATTTTAAACAGAAAGGTTAAGAAAGTCAGAGGAGGCAGCCAGATTAGAGGGTGAAGAGACACAGCTGGGCATGTTGAGACAGGCCTGCAGTCCCAGAACTGAGGAGGATGAGGCAGGAGGACCGCCCAAGTTTGAGGCCACCTTGGGCTACAGAGCAAGACCCTCAGAGAGAGGGAGGCAGGGGAGTCACTAAATGCAATGGGTTATTCTGGATTAGATATTGGAGTAAAAGAGAAAAACTTAAAATTATTAAAAGACATTACGGAAGAAAGTGGTAATGAAATTAAACAGTGTAGATTATACAGCAATATGCCAAATTATTTTAATTAAATTTATTTATTATTTACTATTATAAATAAATGTGTGTGTATGATATCTATGGGTATACTCCACAGTGTCAGTGTGAAATCAGAGGACAACCTCATGTCTGTGTCTTTGCCTCCCACCAGGTAGACGCCAAGAGAACTGGTTTACAAGCTTCTGGGGTCCTCGTCTCTGCCTCCCGTCTCGCTGTGGGGGCCCCAGGAGAACAGATACTCATGTTACTCTGTACGTTTTTTATGTGGCCACCAGGATTTGAACTCAGGTCCTCAGACTTCTATGGCCCATGCTTTTACCTACTGTGTCATCATCTCCAATCTCCGTTTTACCATGTGAGGTTCTTGTTCTTAAGACGTACACACTGGAATATTCTAGAATTATGGCAAGATGTCTCCCAATTTAATCTCAGATGATTCAGAAAAATAATTGTGTGTGTGTTTACATTTGTGTATGTGTGTATGTGTGTGGAGAGGAAGAGGGGAGGGAAAGAGGAAAGGAGGGGGAGAATGAGAATGGTACAGGAAATGTGGCAAAATATTATTCCTTATACTCTTGCCATTTTTTCTGAAAGTTAGAAATTATAACAAAATAAACAATGGCAAAGGAGAGGCAGCTTAGTCATCGGTCCAGTGTGGTTGATTATTGTTGTTGCAAAGGATATTAGGAGTGTGTGTGTGTGTGTGTGTGTGTATGTGTGTGTGTGTGTGTGTGCATGTGCGTGTGCATGTGCGTGCACACCCAGCCACAATCCACTCTAATTCCTAGTTTGATTGAATAATCAACCAGCAGCCCTGTGCCCCCTGTAGTTACAGCCTTAGAGAAAGAGCATCTATCCCATGCTGGTCCCATCACCTCTGGGTCCCCCAGCTCCTGTGAGCTGGCAGCCAGAGAACGCTGTCCTGGAGGCGTCCAGAGCGTGAGAAGATGCTCTAGTGCTGCCTTTACCTTCCTCTGGCTGCCATCCAGCCCAGCAAATTCAATAGTCTTCATGCCGGCATCAGCCCAGTATAGCCGCTGGGACCCGTAGTCAATAGCTAATCCGTTAGGCCAGGTCAGGTTAGAGGAGATGATGACTTGACGTCTGGAGGCATCCATGCCAGCTCGTTCAATCTTGGGGCTCGCACCCCAGTCAGTCCAATACATGTACCTGGATGTAAGCAAGGGGGTTCTTAGACTTCCGGTCGGTACCCAGGGCAGGCTTCTTTGTGCCTTACTGGTAGACTGCTTCTTAGCATTTCAGTTCACAGCTTGGAAACAAATACCAATGAGGATGCAGAGTCCCCAAAGAGTTTTAGGAGTTCTGCCTCCAATAGTTATCCCAGCTTCCTGTTTATTGTCCAGCCCAAGCCTGGACTCAGCTGTCCCTGAAGGCCTTAGATCTCCAATCACTTTCAAAAGGTACTTGAGAGTCTTGATAGAGGGGAGACCAAGGCTTAAAGAGTATATAGCAGAGGAGGCCACCTTGGGAGTGACGAAAGAGGGGACCGAGACTGAACTCCACATGTGCCACCACACCCAGCAAAAAAGTTTTCTTGACTGCATGTATTACATGATTATGGCACCTAAGTTTAATAAAATTCCATGTAACTATGAAGAAGAGCAAGGCAGGACTATACACTCAAATGAGGAGTATATACAAGATATATAGCAAAACCGAAGAAAGAAACCATTCCAAAGATTTACTTTTGGTGGGGGTTTTGTTTGGCTTGGTTGCTGTGGGATGGTCTGTATGTCAAATTGCTCTGGTTGGTCAATAAATAAAACACTGATTGGCCAGTGGCTAGGCAGGAAGTATAGGCGGGACTAACAGAAAGGAGAAAAGAAAGAACAGAAAGGCTGAAGGAGTCACTGCCAGCCGCCGCCATGACCAGCAGCATGTGAAGACGCCGGTAAGCCACGAGTCACGTGGCAAGGTATAGATTTATGGAAATTAATTAATTTAAGCTATAAGAACAGTTAGCAAGAAGCCTGCCACGGCCATACAATTTGTAAGCAATATAAGTCTCTGTGTTTACTTGGTTGGGTCTGTGGCAAGGCAGGAAAACTCTAGCTACACTTGGTTTTGAGACAAGATCTCCTACAGCCCAGGCTGGTCTTGAAGTTGCTAAGTGGCCAAGGATGACCTTGTGTTCCTGATCCTCTTGCTTCTACCTCCCAAATGCTGGCATGACAGGTGCTTACCTGGCTCCAAAACAGTGTGCCATTTTTATAAAACCAAATCTGCCACCACCACCAATATTTGTAGGCATTTAGAGTAAAACATATTTTGGAAAGACATACCCTAAACTGTCCACAGCGATTGTGTTGGGAGGTAAGAATTTCACTCTCTACAAATTTAATACTCTTTAATAATGAAATTACTTTTATAAGCAAACAACAACAACAAAAAACTTTTTAAAGAAAATTTGAAATTTAAAAGGCTTCCTTGCCAGAGAGGAGGCAGGGATCTCATTTCCTCCTCTGCCCTTAGCACATCCACAGATGTGGATTTCCCTAATCTACAGACTCCCCTCTTTTCTATTATTATTATTATTATTATTATTATTATTATTTTGGTTTTTTGAGACAGAGTTTCTCTGTGAAACAGTCCTGGCTGTCCTGGACCTCGTTCTGTAGACCAGGCTGGCCCCAAACTCACAGAGATCCGCCTGCCTCTGCTTCCCGAGTGCTGGGATTAAAGGCATGTGCCACCACCGCCTGGCTCCAGACTCCCCTCTCATACCCAGTTCTTGGGGGGAGTCAGGGCTTAGAAGGGACAGTCCGTACCCGCCCATGGGCTCTACCACGATGTCCCGGGGACGATCAAGGTTCTCCCAGATGAGCACTGTTCTCATGCTGCCGTCTGTGTTCGCCACTTCAATTCGGTCTGTACCTACCAAGAAATAAGGGGGAAAGAAAGAAAGATTTCCAGCCTTGCTCATGCCTTCTCTGCGACCCCTGCCTAGCATAGAGCTTTATATGTAGTAAGTGCTCAGCAAAGACTTTGTGGTGAATATGCAGTGGATATTTAGTGACGGAAACTAAGAAATTCAAGGAAGTGATTAGTTTCTCTCCTTGGACCAGCACAACTTTCTAAACCTAGGAAACCCAGTCTGTCTCATGACTCAAGGCAAGGATTCTCAAATCTCAGTGCACATAAGAATGAGAAGAGCTTGTTAAAAATACAGATTCCTGAGGCTGGAGTGATGTCTCAGGGGGTTAAGAGTGCCTGCTGCTCTTGCAGAGGACCCAGGTTCAATTCCCAGCACCCACATTGGGTGGCTCACAACTGCCTGTAACTCCAGTTCCAGGGGATCTGACACCCTCTTCTGGTCTCCATGGGTACCTGTACACATATGATATATATGCATACACTCAGGCACACACATACACATTAAGAAATAAATCTTTAAAGATTCTTGCAATTAATTCATCAAGATTCTAAGTAAGTCTGAGGTCCAGGATCTGAATTTCTCACAACTTCCCAGAACATGCTGATGCTTTTGTTCCAGAAACTGTATTTTGAGAAGCACTGGTTTAAAGGTATTCATTTTGTCTCCAAGTCCCTACCCCCACCAAGATTCATAGAAAAATGCCTGTTTTGTCCGGACATTAATGGAAAAACCACAGGTCATAAGCTCATCATCCAAAATGCCTCAGCACAGAAAAGTTGCAATTTGGATAAGAAGTTTTAAAGACTCACATGTACACTCAGAAGATGCCAGACAGCCAGGCCACAGCTCCCTGTACATACCTGCATCTGTCCAGTAGAGCTTGTTCGTGACCCAATCAATTGCCAGGCCAGCAGGGCTTTCCAAACTGGTATCCACTACCACCTGGGCAGGAAGCAAAGCTGTATCACCCACTGCATTCCTGCACCACCTCTAGAACCCAAACTCCACCAACTGCAAGGAATGGGAAACACATCCCTCCCGGAGGGACTGGATCCGTGCTGGGCCCTACCTCCTGTCCTGTTCCATCCCACTTGGCTCTGCTGATGGTATCAGTGCTGACATCGGTCCAGTACACGTGGTCATCCCGGGAGTCCCAGTCCAGGGCCACAGCACTGCGCACGTCAGCCAGTGGGATGACATCGTCGGACAGGTCCTCTGTGTCGAAGCTGATCCGACGGATGTCCATCCTTCGGGCAAAAAGCAGGAACTTGTCAAGACCTGATCAAAGGCCGAGAGGGGGCTCCTTTTAATGCTCTAAATCCAGTAACAGTGACAGACACAGATGCTCACCTGTGTGACACCTGGCTCAATCACACTTCCTGGGACCTGCTGCCCTTTGCCCCCTACTCTTCACACTGCAGGTTGCCCTGAAGCACAGTTCAGCTCATCCTGGCGGAATCAGACTTTAGAGTCCAATGGGAACAGATCGTCCCCACTGCTTACGTGTCCACCAGCTTCGTTGGAATCATTCTCTCCTCTGACTTCTCTTGACCATTTCCAGTGCATGGCTGGGCCACTGCCAACTCCCAGCCTACTTCTGAGACTTTCATTCTATTTCAGGTCTTCTGCTTTTCTGTTTCCTTGAGACAGGGTCTTACTCT